AGTCCAATAGTTTAAAAAACTGGGACCAGAGCCAGAGAGATGGCTCAGTGGATAAAGCCATCCGCTGTCAAACCTGATGACCTGAGTTTGGTTCCTGGAACTAACATGGTAGAAGGAGAGAACCAAATCCCTCAAGTTGTCCTCTGACCTCCATGACACTGTGGTAGCACACATGTGCCTACGCATACACGCACACACACGTATTTTAGAAATTCAAAATAAAAGATAGACTGGACACAGTAATACATATTTTTAATCTCAGCAGTCAACAGGCAGAGGCAGAGGCAGTGAGTGCAGCATGGACTGTCTAGCTGGGACTACATAGTAAGCCCTTGTCTTAAAGAAGGGGGGGGGCACGTGGTGGTGCTTCCGTTAGATCCCAGCACTCAGGAGGCAGAGGCAGGCTCTGTGAGTTCAAGGCCAGCCTGGTCTATAGAGCGAGTTCCAGGACAGGCTCCAAAGCTACACAGAGAAACCCTGTCTCAAAACAAAACAAAACAACAACAAAAGAGTAAGGAAGAAAATAAAAGAAAGAAAAAGCTGGGACCTAGAGAACACCCCTACAAATACCACTTTAAAAGTTAGCATACAGAGACTCTTATAAGCTATCTTATTTTATCTGAAATACGTAATTTATTTTAGATTAGGTTGGTAATTTTGAACTCAAGAATGTCAGATATTTTTTAAAGTTTTATACCCCAAGAAGTCAACTTATTACGTTAATGTATTTGATTTATAACACTTATAAAAATCATTTAAGTGCATAAAATGATTTTGCAAGCGTGCATCGTCTGTCCAGCAAATTATTTGAAATACTTGGGAGGAACAGGGCACTAATATGTCAATCAGATTTATAATATCAGAATTGATTTAATTGCTTCAGATAGTCCCTGACTTAAAATCATTTGACTTTGTGCTTCCAGTTTTATGGTGATGACGTTGAGAAGGTGATGTGCATTCAGGACAAACCTGACTTCCCATTTTAAGTTCTGGTTATTTCTTGGACTAACAACTTACGGTAAGATGTTCTTTTGGGATTTCCACCTATAAGCTCATATAAGTGCTCAGAGCATATCAAAGGAAGGGTCAACTAATCTGTAATGTTCAGTAGTTTAGCTGCATTAATTTAAGGGCCAGGAAGCATGGTAGTGCATGCCTGTAATTCCAGCCCTCAGAAGGCAGAGGCAGGGGGACCTCTGTGAGTTCTAGGTGAGTGTGGTCTATAGAGAGAATTCCAGGCCACCCAGGGCTACACAGTGAGACTATCTATCTGTGAATCTGTCAGTATAGATATGTATGTATGTATCTATCCATCATCTATCTGTCTATCTATCTATCTATCTAGATATATGGCCTACAGAGATGCTTCTGTGTTTAAGAGGACTTCTTCTCCTTCTCCTTCTCCTTCTCCTCCTCCTCCTCCTCCTCCTTCTTCTTCTGCAGGGTTTCTCTGAGTAACAGCCCTGGCTGTCCTGGAACTCGCTCTTGTAAACCAGGCTGGCCTCGGACTCACAGGGATCTGCCTGCCTCTGCCTCCCAAGTGCTGAGATTAAAGGCCTGCGCCACCAATGCTTGGCATGTTTGCTGTTCTTGAAGAGACCTGGGTTTAGCGCCTAACACTTGTAACAGCAGTTCCAGGGGATCTGGTGCCATCTTCTGGCCACCACAGGCAACATATGAACATGGCATGTAGCAAATACCCACATGCATACACTAAAATAAAAAATTAAGGAGTCTTTAACTAAATAATTATTCAGGAGAATTAACTTTGTCAGACTTAAAAATTATTAACTAAAAACAATTCATTTATTTTATGTGTATTTGTGTATACCTACCTGAGTGAATGCACATGTAGACAAGTTTGGTTGCCCCAACTGCACAGGAAGTGCTTGATCACACAAAGGTGGGAGGTACATAGTCAGGAAGTAGGTGAGGATGTGTACTTGTCACCAATTGCATCAAGGCAGGAAGTATACAGCCTGATGGGTTTGGTTTTGCCTTTATAAGCACGTGATTAATGTAATTTTCAGTCATTCTCAGGGTATCCTGGGTATGGACCTCGCCAATGTCCATTGTCCTGGATAGTATTTAATAAAACTCAAATAATGTGGCTCACAAACTGTGGTAGTGGGCTTATTCTTGCCTGGTGGGATTAGCAAAAGGAAGCAGGCAGAGATGAAACCATCCTGGGGCTTGCTGGCCAGGTAGTTCCGGGGTCAGTGAGAGGTCCTGCCTCTTCAGAATGGAGAGCGGCAGAGCAGGGTGTCCAGTGTCCTCTGCTGGCCTCTGAATGTTCCTCTGGCCTCTGGTGCTGCCAATAGGGCTGTTGATCAGGTTCATTTTCTCTGCTAGTTAAAAAATTAAAAGGTAAGAAAAATCAAGCATGGCCGACAGCAGTGGGGAAATTCTCAAGCCCAGTATACAGAATTAGCAAAGAAAGGCTTTTACTAGAGGTGAGCACACACACACAAACACACACACACACACACACACACACACACACCACACTTATACTCACACCTACACACACACACTCTAACATACACATCACTCTCTCTCACACACATATACACACTCTCTCATTTACACATTTTCTCTCTCTTAGAAGTGAGCATACACATACACACACACACTCATACATGCACACACACTCACAAACACACACACACACTCTCTCTCACACACACATCACTATCTCTCTCACACACATACAACTCTCTCACATACACATTTTCTCTCTCTCATACACACACACACACACACACACACACACACACACACACACAGACCAAATGTATTGAAAAGCAACTGTGAACAGCAGAGGGGAAGCTGAGGCTGGACTCAATCCCTGTGAGCTGGGGTTTCTTTTGAGTTTCTGAAGGGTCTTCCTATATATAGGGTGGTGGCTGACTAGCCCACAACTGTCATAAGCATGTCTTGATCAGCCTCCAACTCCTCAGGCTGGTCCATCAGGAGGGGTCCTACCAGAGGAAGAAAGCAGCAGCAACAACAACAAAACCCCTTCTCAGGCCCTTGGCTTTTTTGTTTTGTTTGTTTTTGCTTTTTTTCTTTCAGGTTTTTGTTTTAAGATGCCAGGATTTTGTCTCAGGTTAGGAGGCTGCGGAAGAAGCCAGTCATCTTGGAAGCTCACTACCTCGATTTCCTACTTAATCCATGGTCCGCTTGCTATCTTTCTAGCAGGGAATCTGTCTAATCTTAGTTCCTCAAAGGCAGATACACCTGCACACATGCTCTCCTGTGTGAGCACCCCACAAGGTGGAGTAGGGGGCACAGAGAGAGAGAGACAGACAGAGGAAGAAGATTTACTTTCACATTGACCTGTGTTGTTTGTTTGCTAGAGAAGGTCTCATAAACCCGTTGAGCATGAGCTACAGTGCTCACTGTTCAAATCTGAGAGCTAATGTTGCTTCAAATTGAAATGTTTGTGGTTTGCTTAAAGATACAGATCTGCCTTTAGCCAGCCCGAGTGACCTTGAAGAAGGAGGAGAAGTGGATTTGTGGTGTTTAGTGCTTAGGTTAGATTGCTCAGAGGTGAGCAGAATCTTCTGGAAGTTTGAAGTTCTGATCTTTCTACTGAGTGTGTGTGTGTCTGTCTGTCTGTCTGTCTGTCTGTCTGTCTGTCTGTCTTTAACTCTTTTCAGGAGAATTGAAGGGTGAGGATCCTTACTTAGAGTAAACATTTCCATGTTGAACAAGTAGTGAATATTAGACTTCTCCTTGACCAAGTAACTCTTACCAGTGGCTTCAGGGACAGAAGAGGGAAGAGTGAACTCACAGGACTTCCCAGGGATATGAAGGTGAGGGTGAATGGAGAGAGGGATGGGGGGGAGGGATGTGATGTGTGTGGGTGTGTAGGGAGTAGGGGAATAGGGGAGTGGGGGTTATCAACATGCAGCAGCCCCACAGAGGGTGGGGCCTGAGGTCCTGAGACCTTTGGAAGAAAAAAAGGAAAAAATATGACTATTCAGAAAGATGACCTGTGACATTTTTCCAAATAAATTGTCTGTTTTTATTTTTCTCAAGATAGGGTTTTTCTGTATCCTGGAACTTACTCTATAGACTCGACTAGCCTCTAACTCACAGAGATCCGCTTGCCTTTGCCTCCTGAGTACTGGGATTAAAGGTGTGTGATAACCATATTTTTTATTATTTATTCATTTTTTGATACAGGGTTTTGTCTAGCCCTGACTGGCTCAAACTAACTATGTAGTGGAGGCTGGCCTTGAACTTGCATTTACTTAGCTTTTAATTAACAATTTCATGTATGTATATACAGTTCGATCATATTCTCCTTTATCTTCCCTCCTGCCTTTACCCTCACCAACCCCCTTTTTTTCCCAACAAACTTCCCTTCTACTTCCATCCCTTCCTTCCTTCCTTTTGAGTGTGTGTTGTGTGTGTGTGTGTGTATATACGTGTCTGTTCCACTGCGTTTAACTAGGGCTGTCTGCATGAGTGGGTGGGAGGCACTTTCCTGAGCAAGGGCAGCTTACAAGTGGCCACACTACTCAGGAATCTGACCCCCTCCCCCGCGACCATTAACTGTAGCTCCTGAGAGATGGGAGACTGGCCTGCAACTCCTGATTCACCTGATTCTCCCCATCTGAGTTTTGGGATTACAGATGGACATCACCATTGCTATTGAGTATTACAGAGTTCTTGTCCTTTAATGAACGGAATATCATAACCAATAATATACTAATTATTAATACCCCCAGGATGGTAGTGCAAGTTTAAAGCCTGTCTGAGCTTTTTTGTTGCTGTTGTTATATAGCATAACTGTATCTCAAAAACTAAAAGAAACTAATCTAAACACACACACACACACACACACACACACACACACACCATACACCTAGCAACTCTTCACACCAGGCATAGCGGAGTGGTGCACACACCCTTAATCCCAGCACTTGGGAAGCAGAGGCAGGTGGATCTCTGTGCTTGAGGCTAGCCTGGTTTACAGAGAGTTCAAGGACAACCAGAGCTGGTAGACAGAGAAATCCTGTCTCAACAAAAAAACAAAACAAAACAACAACAACAAAAAACAAGAAAAAAAGTACAGAAAAGTTTTAGGCATCCTTTTCTCAGTTTACCCCAATAACATCTTACACGACTGTCTTTGTATTATACTTTTATAATTATGCAATTTCCCCGTCCTTGGAATTGTTTCCAATTCTTTGTCCTGAATTGTTCTCTGGACTGCTGCATGCTTCTAATCCTAATTCTCCCTGTGTATTCTCAAGGGTGATATTTGAAATAGTCAGAGACATCGACAAATCAATTGTGCTTTGGGAACATCTAATCATAAGAAACTATCTCCAAGACCTGAAGCAGAGCTCTGGACACTCGTGCCTGTGGGAAATGACACTTTCAAAAATATAAAAAAGGCAATTGACAGAAATTCAAATTTCTCCAGGATTAGCGCTTCTTGACATCAAAACAGGTGCTCAGGCGGCACTCTCTGCACAAAAATTACGATCTTCCCATCAACTGGTGGTTTTAAACTAACCAATCGCTTGAGAATATGTGGCCCAGGACCGTTTACATCAGGAATTTAACCTGGTGGGACCTGGGCTGGGTGTGTCAGCCTTTTTGATCTGGCCTGACCACACACCCCTTCTACAGAAGTAAAACTTCTTGTCTTGCTGGGACACTTTGGATTGCTTGGTCATTTTCTTAAGACACCAGGTTTGTTTCTGACTAATTTCTGAACCATAGAAATATCTGGGGAAAGGAAGGTGGGGAAGTGGTTGCTGGCCAATGGCAGGAGTCCTTCAACATTGGCACCATCTTGTGGCCCTGTGCAGGAGTGGTATGTCAGCAATGCTCCAATCTCCCTGTCATGCGCCCTACACTCACCTCATTGCTTTGTAGTCATTGGAGTTTTCCTTTTTTGAATTTGTTATCAGGTCTTTGAAAGCAAATGTGGATGTTTAATTCGCAGATTTGCAGAGCCCGCTATTGTCTGTGTGATAAATAGTCCAGCAGGGTGACACAGGCCTGCTAGCCTAGCACTCGGGAGGTTGAGGCCAGAGAATCAAGTGTTTGAGGCCAAACCAGGCTATACAAGGGGATCCTGCTTACAAAAATAAGTCATGAGTGATTAGTACTCAAATAGAAATTAAATTCTAGTTGTAGGTCTCTCCTGAGCTTGGTTGTGTAAGCCTAGACTGGCAAGCACTCTGGTCTCAGGATCCTCTTCTGTAAAACAAGATCATTTGGTTCCTTCTAGCTCTAAACCTTTGTAAAAAGTTTGCAAAGGTGGCAAGATATGCACTAATAAGGAAATCTGATGTTTAAAAATAAGAAAACCGTATTTTGACAAATACATGAGTGATTATTACTCCATATTAATTTTAAAAGTCTGCTGGGGAAAGGAAGAACGACTTGCTAATCTTGCTCGTGAAGAGCTCAGTCTATGAGGATCACCTCTGCAGAACCAGAGGCAGTGACAGAAGTGTCAAGATCGGCACACAGCAGGGGCAAAGGGGGACTGGCAGGATGTCTCCTTGTGAAAAGGAGCTTACCACCAGGCCTGATGGCCTGAGTTAAATTCCTGGGATCCGCATGGTACAAAGAGAGAACTAACTCCCCCAAATTAGCCTCTGACCTCCACACGTACGCCATGACGTGTACCTAGTGCATATACTGGCCTGCACGCACACAAAGAACATATACATACTCACAATACATTCACACACATATTTTAAATGTAATAAAAAAAATTTTCTAAAAGGCAGAGAAAAGAACAGTAAATTCCAAAGTTCCAGAGATATAGATCTCTGTAACAGTTCTTACCAATATCTTTCCTAAACACTATTAAAAGTTAACATATAATATCAGGTGAAAACGACATGAAAGCCATTTGTTATTCCTAGAATAAATTTTTAAAGCACTCATTGAATTTATTTTATGTGTCTGCGTGCTTTGCCTGCCCGAGTGTACGTGCACCGCAAATGTGCCAGCTGCCTATGAAGGTCAGAAGAGAGAGATAATTCCCCTGAAACTGGAGCTGCGGAGAGTTGCAAGCCACAATGCTGGGTGCTAGGAACCAAGTCTCGATCTTCTGGGAGAGCGACAAGTGTTCTCTTTTGTTTGTTTTGTTTTTTTTGGAGACACAGTTTCTCTGTGTTAGCCGCCCTGACTGTCCTGGAACGCTCTCTGTAGACCAGGCTGGCCTTGAACTCACAGAGTTCGTCTGCCTTTGACCATTAAAGGCCTGTGCTACCACCAGTGCAACAAGTGCTTGTAACAGCTAAGCCCTCCCTCTGGCCCCTTATTTTAAAGTGTGACTAATGTGGTAGCTGTCATCCTTGCAGCTTCTGTGATTAGCAGGTTGGCAGTATTCATGTGCATTAAGATAAAGAACCTAAGTATATTGCCTCAACGAACGATCACCGCAGTTCCACAGAGTCTACCTGTTGGATGGGGAAGTTCAGGCTGTGATCTGTCAAGTGAGTTTCCCGAAACCACACAGCAAGTGATCATACTCAACGTGGACTCAGGTAGGTCCATTCCGAGGTTTTTCTTTCTTTCTTCTTTTTCTTTTTTTTTTTTGTCTTTTATTTTGTTATTTTGTTTTTTGTTTTTTACCTACTACTCTACGCAGATCTACGGTGGACGGTGGAAGTCTGTGTGTGGGTCGTTCTGCAGGCCGGTGGGGGTGGGGGCGCTGACAGATGGTCTATGGAACTACTTGCGCTGGGCCGGTAATCGAACTCAGGTCCTCGGGCGGAGCGGTCGGGCGCTCTACCCCCTGAGCCGTCTCTCCGGCTCCGAGGTTTTTCTTTAAAAATGTATTCATCAATTTTACTTGTATATATGTGTTGGGCCTGCATGTCTATGTGCACTGTATGTGTACCTGGTGCCAAGGATACCAGAAGAGGGCATTGGATGCCCTGCTGCTGGAGTTACAGGCAGTTGTAAACTTCCAGTTCCTGCTGGAAACTGAACCCAGAGTGTCATGCGTTCAAGGCCAACTGAGCCAAGTCCCTAGTCCCATATTGTGTTTTAACGTCTTCTGACGTCTCCATGACCCTAGGATTGTACTTCCTGCTCATTGCTTTCCTCTCATCCAAAGCCTCAATGCCCTCCACACTGTAACTTCAGAAAGTATGGTGCTATTCTGTGAACAGATTCACGATCTTTACAACCTCACAGACGCCAATTCCTCTGCCTGGAATCTTTTCTTCCTAAACTCTTCTGGAAGAGTTTCTACTCAGCCATTACGGCTCACCTCCACTGTTATTTTCATAAGTTTTAAAGGCAGAGTTGTTCAAGTACCATTTTGCTTTCTCCTAAAGGCAAGAAGATCTTTGAAGGCCGGTGGCCCATTTACCCTTACACAGTTCTCAACACACACTGTGCTATCAGCGAACATCTGTCTAGTGAGTCAATTTGTTTATAGATGAGGCAAGAGCTAGAGAATGTTTCAAAGCTGCTGTTGTTTATGATAACTAGTTACTGGACTGCTCCACAATGCGTTTCAACCAGATGGTGGAGGCTGCGTCTGCTCAGACAATTAATTCAGCTCTTGCAGTAACAGGACCTTAAGAGTCTGACTGACTCTGATAACTTAAAATCAGTGCACAGTCTAAGGTTTCTATTTCTGGTCCAACCAGCCAAGGTTCTATTCTCAGTCTTAGGGGCTCATCTTAATTATCTCTCTGGGGAAGCTACAGCAAGAATCAGACACCTCTAGTTAGACAAGGGAGATCTCGGTGAATTAACTGCCTTTCCGAGCTTACGTTTATTGCCTGTGCTTAGCTCAGAGGATGGTTAAATGAGACGGTACAAAGGAGGCTTGTGTGGTATCCGATGCCAAGGGAACACTTGGGTATTAGGTGTGGTGTGGATCATGCTGCCCTGGGCTTATGTTTAGCTACAATTTCATCAGTTTCTCTTTGTGCTTTGTTTTTGGGGTTTGACAATGAGCACCAGTCTGCTGATTTTGATAATGTGTTCCTGGCAGACTTGGAGATCTGGATTCCAGTCTCCTACATTTGTATTAACATTATATCTTTGTATAACTACTCCATTTTAGGATTTGGAGTATACCTTGTCCACGTCGTCAGAGCCCTTCACACATCTCAGACCTCCCCTTTTCCCCAGGCACTTGTCTAAGACGCCATCTTTCTTAAGAGTCACAGCATTTAGGTCATCCAGGATCCTTCAAATCCCTTTTTAGCTCCCGTTTCCCTCTCATTTTCTTTGTCCACTGCTGACCCCCATAATTTAGCTATACAGTGACACAGCAACTGTAAGACTGGCCATTCCCTTTCTTCCCCAGAGTAGAGCTTGCCTCGACATTCCTAACTAATTAATTTTGTTCTATGTGTGTGAGTTGCATGTATGTAGGTGTACCGTATGCTTGCCTGCTACTCAAGGAGGACAGAAGGGAATGTTAGAGGCCCTGGAACTGGAGTTACATGAGTCACCATGTAGGTGCTAGGAACCGAACTCAGGTTCTCTGCAAGAGCAACAAGTGCTCTTAACTACTCAGCCATCTCTCTAGCCTCTTGTTAGGAAAAGTCTAATCAGAAATAAAAGGTCCTGGGGTCTCTCAGACAGTTGACATAGAAGCGAATGTGCTACTAACCGCTGCTTATTTTTCTGGTTTTGTTGCTTAGCAGGAGGAATTGTAGTGAGAACTTATTTATGCCTTAGAGGCTTTGAACTCCTCTGGCTTCCTCCACTGATAACCAATGTTGCCAGGGGAGCTTTTAACCCTGAACACAGCCACTAGGCACCTCAAGTTCTAGCCCACATTTGCCAGCTCACTCTCTCCACCCTCAGCATTTCCATTCATAAAACAAGGATGACAGAAAAAAAGTTAATAAAAGAAAATCAGATGATAACAGAACTTACTCTGCCCAGTAATGCATTTTCTGTACCCTGATAATAGGTTTCTCTGCCAACTCAGTAAGCCAGGTCAAGCCGAACTGAAAAAGCAGAAGTTTATTTGAGTAAAGCAACTCCCGGGTGGGTTTTCCAGTCCCAGAGATCCAGGCCAGATAAGTCACTGCCTGAACTAAAGCAGGGAGATTAAATAGCAGGTAAGCAAGGGGCGATGACCTGTTCATGACAAACTGGGTTTGTGCCCAAGTATGGCCAAAAACTGAATGACTTAGGCAGGGACTTGGACTGCTGGCAACTTCAGGGAAGGAGCTGCCATAGCTACCAAGAATTCGGGACTAGGCTTTTTGTAGCCTTTGCTGGCCATTCTCTGAGTGGGCGGGATTTGGAGAGACAGGCTTTCCTGATCATCCTAGGGTAAGCTGGAGACTCCAGCCCAACACACAGTATCTGGCAGAGTAAGTAATGCATTGAGTGAGAACTTCCTGTCTCCCTCTCTCCCTCTCCTCCTTTCTCATTCTCCACTCTCCTTCCTCTCTCCGTCTCTCTTCCATTCCCTCCAGCTCTCTCCCTCTCTTTCGAGAGCCTGAGAATGAAAGCCACTGAGCCAGGGTTGGGAACCGAGGTGGGTTGCCTGTACACAGCTGGGGAAAAGGTCTTCAGTGGGTAAAGACAGGTCTCAAATGCCTTTGACCTTTTCAGGGCCTGCAACAGACACTCAGAGAGTCCACACATACTAAGTTGAACATTTTTTCCCTCTATCAGATGTTAGTTCTTGTTTTAAAGATTGTGATACAATTTCTATAACCTAAAATTTGTCATTTTTATCTTGGATCATCTTTTTTCTCAATATTTATTTTTATTTACATGTCTCTGCATCTGTATATACCACATGTCTATGGATGCTCATAGAGGCCAGAAGTGGGTGTTGGATCTCGTTGAGCTGGAATTATAGGCAACTGAACTTATCTGTTGTAGGTGCTGGGAACTCAACTGGGGACCCCTCTAAGAGTGGTAAGTGCAGCTGGGTATGACAGCCCACACCTTTACTTCCAGTTCCTCAGAGACAGGCAGATTTCTGAGTTCAAGGCCATCCTGGTCTACAATGCAGGAGAGCCAGGGATACTTAGACAAACCCTGTCTTGAGAAACAAACAAAAGAGTGTTCTCAACTGGTGAGCACCATCTCTCTGTCCCCTCCTAGATCATCTTTAAGGCTGTCCACAGCCCTTATAAAATGACCATTGAGTAGTTAGAGTTCCTTATATTTTGATATTTTACAGAAATCTATTTTGGCTGGTGAAATATCTCAGGGGGTAAAAGTGCTTGCTGTCAAATCTGCCGGCCTGAGTTCAAGCCCAGGGAATCACACGTGAGAGAAGGAAGCCCTGCCAGCTAAAGCACACTGGTCTCTCACATGCACATGGGCAGTACACCCTGCATGCCGCCCTCCCAAACAAAATCAGCAAATAAATGTGATTTTTTTAGACCCATTTAAGCCTGGTATACTGGTGTGAGAGCCAAAGTTACATTTTAAGTTTTAATTACTGTGGTTAAGAGAGCCATGAAACAAAAATGCCTTTGATCTGCAAGCCCCTTGCCCAAGGACAGACAGTTCCTGAAAGGCTGGGGACTATTGTTTATGGTAGATAATAAGTCACATGTTTTCACTCCCCTAAACAAGTCAGCTTGACCCATCTGCATGGGATGTGGCTGAGCTCATGTGGGTCAGAGGTTCACGGGCAGGAAATATGTCAGGATGTATTCTTATGCCTGACTGGACCTGATGGGAAATACTTTAAGCCCTTGCAAACTGTGGCTCAGGGCCATTTTCTGGAAACCCAGAGATGGACCTGGCCAGAGAGTCCATCCACCTGGCCAGGATTTCAAATTTGGCTTTAAACTGTGGTAGAGGTTTTATTTTCGACAGCTGGGATTAAACAGAGGCAGGCAGCCTGGTCTACAGGGTAGCCAGTGTTACACAGAGAAACCTTGTCTCAAAAAATTAACCTACCAACCAGCCAGTCAGTCAGCCAACCAACCAACCAACCAACCAAACAAAAAACCCAAACCCCCTAACAAACAAACAGACCCATTTAAACAACAAAGAAGTGTCACTGGCTTATTTATTTCGAATTACGGTGGAATCTGGCTTAAAGTGTGCTTCTGTCCAATGACTCAAATGATTTCAGGTAAGAACTTGTTTCTCTCCACGTCTTTTTCTTTGCCTTCAGCTATACTGGTTTCAGCTTACTGTTAATTTGTCTCTGGTGATGGAGAGCAAATCCAGGGTGCTAAGCATGCTGGGTAAGCTCTCTCCATCTGAGACCTTTGGTGCTGGTTTTATTGCTTATACAGAGTGTTCCTGCCAACTCCAGATGCCACTCTAAGTAAAAAAGAAGTGGCTGTTTTCCAGTTCAGACCTCTTATCTTTATGAGCACTGTTCAACGGAAGAGGGTGCCTTGTGGTACTCCCACTGTTGGGAAGGAAACTTCCTCTGCTCAGACATCCCCAAATCTCTTCAAACCTGGATGGATGTCTTGGACATGATCACAGGCCCATTTTGGGAAAACCATTGTTCATGCAGACCGGACTATCCTAGAATTACAGCTGAACCTGCCCCATCCAAATCAAATGGCCAAACTGAAAGAGAGGTGCTTCCCCCAAGGCAAAACTTGCAGCTATTGGTAAAGTAATGTCCACTACATGGGCCGGAGAGATGGCTCGGCAGTGGGAGCCCTTGTTCTTGCAGAGGACTTAGGTTCAATGACAAGCACATGGTGGTTCACAAGGGTCCCTAGCCACAGTTCTGGGACATCTAACACTCCCTGCTGACCTGCATTGGTACTAAGCATACAGGTGGTACAGCGACACACGTGCAAGCAAAACACTCATACACATGCAAAAACACCCGCCCCCATCTAGAGTTCCCATCCGCCATCCAAAATAAACCTTTTCATTTTTCCTTCTTATCAGCAGCAGCGGATGGTCTGCTCTCGTTTCCCATAGCTGCTCATGTGACGACAGGAAGATGAGACATGGACAGTCACTAATCCTAAGGTTTAAGTTCAACTACTCCACAGTGAAAGGATCCTTCAGTGCCTCTCAGAAACATCTACAATTGCAGATCCATGCTTACAAATGCTAAGTCACCATGTGCCATGAAACTCTGTTGTAAAAACTTCACTACCTAGAAAAGAAGAGAAGTCAATTTCAGAATGTAAAAACAAGTTTAAAGATTGATCTTAATTATGTAGATGTGTTGTGGTAATTCGAATAGGAATGGCCCCCTTAGGTTCATACGTTTGAATGCTTAGTTGTCAGGGAGTGGTACTACTTGGGAGGAATTAGGAAGTGTGACCTCTTGGAAGATATATGGACTAAGGGTGGCCTTGCAGATTTCAAAAGCCCAAGCCAGTCCCAGTGGCTGACTCTACCTACTGCCTGCCGGTCCCAATGTAGGACTCTCAGCTACTTTTTCGGTACCATGTCTGCCTGAGTGCCACTAAGCTCCCTGCTGTTGTGGAAGGCGCTTGTTCATTCCCGGCTGCCCAGAACCGAAATAATCATGTAGAAATCTGTATCAATTGCAATACTGTTTGACCAATAGCTTATGCATATTTCTAGTTCAGTCTTATATCTTAAATTAACCCATTTTTATTATTTTATATTTTACCACAAGGCTTGTGGCCTACCGGCAAGGTTCCAGCTGGCAGACTGCATCTTGGCTACATGGTGTCTAGCTCCGCCTTCTTCCTCCCAGCGTTCAGTTTAGTTTTCCCCATCTGGCTCTATTCTGCCCTCTCACAGGCTCAATATAGCTTCTTTATTAACCAATGGTATTCACAGTATACAGAGGGGAATCCCATATCACCCTGCCATGAAGATAAAGGCTACAACCTACCTCTGAAACTGCAAGCCAGCCCCAATTAAATGTTTTCTTTTACAAGAGTTTCCACAGTCATGATGTCTTTTCTCAGCAATAGAACACTGACCAAACAGAATGTGATTGTGTGTGCACACGAGTGTGAGTGTGTCAGATACCCCAGAGTTGGAGCTCTAAGTGTTTGTGAACTACCTGATGTGGGTCCTGGGAGTTGAACTCTGGTTCCGCAAGAGCAGTATGTTCTCCTAATTGCTGAGTCATCTCTGTTGCTCATCTTTAGATTCTCGACAGGCAAATTCCAGTGACATATGACCTTCATCTTGCTCTATGTGAGCTTAATTCTCTGAAAAATGGAAGCATTTTGAATTTTGAATCATTGAGTATATTCATGTTGTTCCATAAAGAAAGCTGGTCTTCTGCTAACCTTTTCAGACACATGGATGTCCCTAGAATAAGAGACCTTTGTTTTGGTTGTGCTGACACGCATTTCCCAAGCTTTCTCTTCCAAAATGCTCGCTTTCTAGGAGTTTCCCTTTCCAAAGAAGATGACTAAAAGAACAATTACAAATTTGAATCAAAAGAGTCATATTATGCTTCTGTATTGAGCTCCTAAAATCCATTAAAAATGAAAACATAATAGAGCCCCTAAAAGCATTTCATTTGTGTTAAATGTTCTGTCTATCGTTGGAGATGACCAGTGGTTGCCTGGGAAGGTGGTGGGAAGACTGTACTGTTAATTTTGTGTTTGGGCTTCTTTCACTTGGGTTAACAGAGATTCATCCATAATGTCATATGTATTAAAACTTAGTTATTTTTATTGCTGAGTAATATTAAATATAATTTTTATATTTATCTATTTATTTATTTTGCTTTTTTGAAACAGGGTTCCTCTGTGTATCCTGTGTATCCTTGGCTGTCCTGGAACTTGCTCTGTAGACCAGGCTGGCCTCTAGCTCAGAGGTCTGCTTGCCTCTGCCTCCTGAGTGCTGGGATTAAAGATGTGTACCACCACCACCTGGCAAGATATAATTTAAAAAGATGATGTTGAAATTCATAAAATGGAAGTGTATTAATACTACTTAACCTTTTACTTAAGTATAACAATATTTTGTTCAGGTAGTATTTCTAAAATTCATTATCGTTGAGGTCATATAATGCAAATCTTGTGATACTAGATTTATCTGTGACTTGAAATCTCCAGACATTCAATTAGGTTGTGTTAATATCGTGAGAACAAGGTGTCACCTGGACTTATTCCAAGGTGTCACCTGTGGAATTATTTAATTTCATGATGGGAGGGGGGAATTTGCAACTTTCTTCTTTCTATCTTAATTTCACAGGCATGGAGTGGAAGCCTAGGCAGACTGCAGGGTCTGTGGTCACATGGACCAGGCTGCTTTCAACATCCTGCTGAGGCTGGTAATGATGTGGTGAATTCTTCCCTCTGCTGCCTAGGCTTCCTCTCACTCCCGGCTGCAAACCTCTGAGCCTCCATCCTGTCTGGCCCCCAGCCACGTCCACCCCGACCCTTGACCTACCAGTTAGCACAGCAGAGTGGATGACTTCATCACAGCAGAGTTTGGTTGCAGCCTCCTGGGTATCTGAGAGCATCTCATGTTTGCACTTCCCAACTGCCCACACTTGACTTCAGCTAACCAATGGGATGCTAGCTCCTTTACACAAGACCCCAGTGTCCCTCCCCAGGAAACACAAAGGCTATGGGTACAAGACACCAGCCAGGACAGAAAACTGGGACCCAGTGTTTGACTTACCTCTTTATCTTTTCTTCCATGCTCTCTCTGGAGCTTAAGACAGTCTTTCCTTCCTTCTTTTTGAATGGCACTGTGCAGGGGACTAGCCTGGACCTCGGCCACTGGTTGTACAGCTACCTAAGACACGTAAATCTCTTGCTGACTCACTTGAAAAACTTGAGAGGTGCAGGAAGGCCCTATTTTTGAGCACGGAAGCTGAATTTCCTCTTTGCGTTCCTCTGCAACACGTTTCATCTCTTGAGGCAGAAGGACACCACGCGAAGACTAGGGTGAAAATGATGTGTTCCAGCAGGCTAGAAATAAAAGCACATTAATAATTTTCAAATTAAGAGTATCACCTCCATCCCACTTGCTACCAACGCATCCTAATTAGTAGCCCCTCATTCCAACTTACAATGAAGTGACAGCTGCCTAAGATCCAAAGCCCCTTCCCTAGGGCCCTCTCTACTGCAGTGATGGTCATAGGTGATGCTGATGAAGATGTGCTGTGTGTAACACAGCAGTCTTAGTCCCTACAATGGTCCTGTGCTGCGTGTACCATTGTTGGACCTGTTTTACTGCTGATGTAAATGAGTCTGAGAGGTGACCTTCTCAGATTCTTCTGTCTAGCAAGTGACAGGGCCAGAGCTCTGAAAGTGGCTCTGTACCTACTGGATGCCTCTAGGCCTCCACCTACCAGTTTCCCATTTGATCACTATTTATACAATGAGCAGATTCCAGCATGAACAGACCAAGGAAACCCAGGTAGGGAGGCAGTGGGATTTTTTTTCTTTGTTCCCCACCCCCATTTCAGAGTGCTACCTACCAAGTGGAATTAATTAAAACTTGGGCACATCTGTTAATGAGAAAACTACAGTTGTCCAGTTAAACATATTTTATTGCTTCTTGGCATTAGTGATGAACTATTTATGCTAAATGACAATGATGCTTAGAGACAGTCACTGTTGAAATAAGAACAACGCACTGGACCTTGGTTTTGCAAAATTAAGATGAGAAGGAATGTTGCAATCAGGTTACAGATTGATACATTATTTGGATACTTGCTTTGCCATAATTTCTTATTTATATTTTATGCTTTATATTTAATGATTTTTAAAAGTTTTTATGTGTATGGGTATTTCACCTATATGAATGTTGATACACCTTATGGCCATTGGATCATTTAAAACTGGAGTTACAGATGACTGTGAACTGCCATACTAGGTGGTCTTCTGGAAGAACAGGAAGTGCTCTGAAGCACTGAACCACCTCTTCAGTCCCTATTAAAAAAGTTTTTTTTTTTTTTAAAACAACTGTAAATTTGCTTGGAAATGGGTTTGGACAGTTAGTAAATTGAGAAATAAGCAAGTGAACTGCTTTACTTACTAGTTTGTTCCAGACAGGGTCTGGCCACATTGCCCAGGCTGACCTTGAACTTCTCAGGTGGCTCAGGCAGCCTGAACTTTCAGTCCTACCTCTTCAGTTTCCTGTGTGCTGGGATTGCGAGTGTCACCATACCCAGCTGGAAACCAGTGCATTTACGGGGGAGGCTGAGACAGAATAATTGCCAATTCAAGCCCACTCTGGGCTACATAGCTAGCTCTAGGTCAGACCCTGTCTCTAAAACAAAACAGAAAATAAAAACGAAGCACAAGGTAAAGTAATAGTAACTAAATCTCATATATCACTTTAAGTTTTCTTCACACTCCATTACCTTTGGTCTTTTCAGAAATCAATTTTACTGTTATCTGATGTTGCCAGGCTATGTCACAATTCATTCATTTAAGAGAGAATTTGAGCTGGGTGGGGTGGTGCACAACTTTACTCCCAGCATTCAGCAGGCAGAGGCAGGAGAATCTCTGTGAGTCCCAGGCCAGCCTGGTCTACAACTTGAATTCCAGGACAGGCAGGCTGTTTGTTACACAGAGAACGCTGTCTCAAAAAGCAAAACAAAAACAACAACAAAAATACTTTGAACATTTTAAAAAGAGATAGTCCAGTCTACTAAGAGCTTACAATGTAATGGATAGTTGCATGTCTGCAGAAAAACTCAGTGAATGTTTGGAGCATAAATCTTTATCTCCATAAAAGACTTTTGTGAGAAAAAAATCAAGACTGGCATGGAGCTGGAATGTTTGTGACTTCGATGATGGCCATCACCTGAAGTACCTCGTTCCATGTGACATCCTGCAGGCCTCCTGTGTGGACAGCCCAGACATCTTTACAGTATGATGGCTGGGTTCCAAGGCAGCAAAACAGAGGTTTCTGGTATCCCATAAAACTGCGCTCTGAAATCCTAGAATCAGTCTCAGTAAAAAACAAAACCACAAAATCATCTCAGATTCAAGAGGAGAGGTATAAACACTCCCTCTTTATGAGAGGAGTGGTCTGCCCAAAGGGAAGAATGATTGGCAGTCATTTTTTCAGGGAACCTCTGCACAGAGAGCAATTATTATATCGACTCCTCTTCTGGGGGTCATGCATGCTAAGTATCTGCAAACCCAAAGCTGTCGACTCACTCACAGCTGCTATGGGGATCAAGTCTGTTTAAAAATAAAACCAACCCAGAGGCAGCCGATCTGAAATGTGGAGCAAAGACCGACCAAACTCAGTGTTCCACTGGAGTGGAACAGAGAGGTTGCCCAGCTGGCTCGAGGTTTGGAGCCCTGCCACGCTCAGTTCTTATCCTGGCTCTGCTGCTGTTGATCACATGACTTTGGGAAATGGCCTTGGTAGTGCCAAGCCTCAGATTATCATCTGTAAAATGTAGATCTCAAACTCTGGCTCCTTTGTTAAGCAACACGTGACTACACTGAGCTAGGTAGATGACCTTACCCCTACAGAAAGTCTTCTTTCTCTGCTAGACTTTAAAGGTCAAACAAACGTGAGATTCCAGTCCTTGTGCGGCTGGTTTGGAAACTCCTTGACCTGCCCTCATACACTTGCTGTGGGGTTCAAATGTAAAACACAAAGTTTGCCAAAGTTG